ACCAGTGGTACTCTGAGCGGATGATGGAGACGGGCCCGACTGTGGTGCGGCGGCAGGAGGAGGAGGAGGAGTCTTTTCAACCCGGAGACAGTCGAAGGTACTGCATTTGGCCTTTATTTGGTGCACAATACTAATGTGCTTGGCCATTGAGGTTGTTTCCCCCCTTTACAAGAGATGATTTTGCAACATAAGCATTTGCATTTCGCTATCTTATCTTTATCTTTGAGCTTGGTAAAATGAAGCCAAACTTTAGACCTTTTCGTCCGTTCAGTCATCTTCGAGTCACGAGCGAAGTTAAGTGCCAGACTTCTCTTGTTTTACTTTTAATATCTGTTTGCTTACAACTTCATTCCAAAACATTGCTGGACATGCTGCAGTGATTGGATTGATTAGATTTAAATGCTGTGACGCGACTCGAGGGACACACAATTATGTTACAGGATCTCCGGGAGAAAAAAAAGAAACGACCAGACTCGATAGTGGCATCGATAAGCCCAAACCTTATTGATTTTCGGGTTTTGAAAAGAGTGGAACCGGGTCCTTGATAGAACCGGGTTTCTATCCCCATCCCTATTAATCGCTTAATAATCAGATGGCAAAAGGTTCCTTAAAGAAGACTTTTTATGAAATTAAACAGGTGAAACTGAAATGTTTCCCCTTGAGGAGTTCTGGGTAGGGGATATTGACAGAAGAAAAAGATTTTTTCTAACTTAAATGCAAAATGTTTACATTTTTATTTTCCCAGTTTTGGTGCTCAAGGGTTGGTTGCTCTGTCAGCTAAAGGCATGCTTTACAGGATTTATACTTCAGTTAAGGATTAATCGATTACTAAATTAGTTGACGATTGTTTCAATAATCAATTAATCACGATTAATCTGATTAATTGTTTCAGCCCTGAAGGACCTGTGTTTCTGTTGGCCTTTTTCCTTCCTAATCAGCACATAAGTCAATATAAGCAGTTTGTTTAAACTTTGTGAAAAGACTGAAAGCAACCAAGAATTTAACTGGTCCAAAATTAACCAATATACTCAGAACTTCATGAATAAAAACACAACTGATTCCAGTATGGACCAAAAACTGAAAAATAATATGTTTGGATTTTTGTACTTCCAGCTGATGCTGTGTGCAGACTCACGCCATCGCCACGTTGCTTCCGTCTATGATGATGTGCCTCAGGTCTGGGTTTCCCCGCTCGTTGGGCAGGTTCAAGGTAAAAGGAGTCCGCAGCGACTGGTGAAACCGAGCCAGACCAGTAACCGGAGGGGCCGGGGGTTCGTTTGCAGGAGGGGTCCGGGCCATGCCCCCCTGAAATCCTGTATGGGCGATGGTCTGATAGGCAGAGGGTGCTGCTCGGTTGATGGGCTGAGCTGACTGAGGAGGTCAGAGAAAGCAGAGACATAATGCTTTGATGTATGCTGTAATCCAGAACCAAACGTGTACAAATGCTCCCTGTGTGCAAAAGACAGAAGCTCATTTTGAGATTTGTAAAGTGGAACCTGAGTCCATGTGTAGAAAATTACGCCACAAAACAGAAAAATCGAACTACGGGATTTAAAAAGACAAAAATAGCAATAGTTTTGCTGGTCCTTGTTTTTAATACATGAAACCAATGTATGATTCCAGAGACTTTGGTCCTAGTTTACGATTTTGACCATCAAGCTAATTTAGAAGTTTGTCCTTTAGAGGTTTAACATCATAAATTCCTCATATATTTAAACAACTTCAATAAATACCAATTTATAACCATTATTTAACCCATTATTTAGATTTTCTGCCTGCAGCAAACACATCTAACAAGGCCCAAAGATGAGATAATAACCAGCCAACTGGAAAAAAAAAAAAAAAAAAAAAAAAGATATTCATGTTATATATAAAAAATATTAGAATAAACAGAATGGTGATGATGCATCAATAAGGACATTATTCAAATTATTTGGTAGGGATTAAGTTTTTGTCTCAGACTGATCAAATGTGTAATCACCGATTACACGGTTTGAATATCAATTAAGATTTTTAAGAAAAAAAGATATTTTATTCTGTCCAGCAAACTAAGATAAGTTGAGTTCTGGATTTTGACTAGGACATTATAACACCTCCGTTGTTTTCTTTTGCAGCCATTCTGTTGTAGATCTGCTGCTGTTTTTGGGATTAATGACCCGTCGACGACCCAATCTTAAAACAGGCGTCTGCTGACATTGTGCTTTAGTAAGAGTTATGGTAAAATCAATGACACAAAGTATAACAAAAGCCTTAATTACCACTATGCTTGATATTTGTATAGGATGAGGCAGATTTGTTTATTTTGCTTTGCATTTTTTAATTTAAAACAGCTTTGAATTAATTTATTAAAACTGCAGGATTAATCAATGGCCGATTCACTGTGAATATATGACGAAAAGTGTTTGAGTCTAAATCCCAGAACTGAATATTGCTGTTATTAACAGGTCCAGCCTCTTGATAACAAAACCTCTGATTCCTCTTTATAAGGAGACAAAGAGCCTATATTTGACAGATTAGTTACGATTACTTGAAGTTTATTGGGTTAAAATGGACTCAGATATTCAGGTTGTGTTGAAAAATAGTGCTTAGAGGTTGTTTTCCTCTCAATTTAAAAACCAAGTCAGGATCAAACAAAAACAGAAGAGAGGCAGAGGCGTTACTCACCCATGCAGGGGTGCTGCGCAGCGGTGTCATGTTCTCCACTTTTACAGATCCACCCAAAGTTTGAGTCCCGCATCGCGACAGGTAATCCCGCTGGGTGACTCCGCCCCCTCCTCGAGCCAGGTAGTCCGTTCGAGATCCAGACTGTGTGGTTTCAGGGTGTGGCATCGTCATTATCCGAGACTTTCTACCGTCTGCTGTTTTGGCATTAGTGGGAATGACGTCGTCGTCATCGTCGATCGTAATTACCTCATAGTTCCCTGCTCCACCCTGAGCACTGGAGCTTCTTTTGATCGTGATGGCCTTAAACAAGAGTTTAACGTTAGTTTTACAGAATTTAAAGAAAATGACATGATACAGAGCGGAGGACGAATGTTTCTTAGACAATCAGATATAATCAATGATCTCTGAAGGAGGTTTGTGGTTAGCCAATGTAGATCAACTTTTTATTTCTCTCCATCTTAAATCATCCTGAGTGAGATTAATATATTTGAGGTCAAGACCGCATTGTTGGCCTGGCTGACCAGCCGAGATGTTTTGGTCCCCTCTATAGCGATGGGGGTTGAGAGAAAGCTTCCTGGATGGCAAGCGAAAAAGTCTTCAAACTTGTTTTTTTTTTTTTTTTTACTTTTTTGGAATGACTATGACCTGGACTTATAGTTTTAGCGCTGACAGAATAGAGATAGGAGAAAAAATATATATAAACAGCAGTATTTATCAAGTTGTGTTTTTTAATATGTGAAGAAAACAGACCATGAAATTGATAGCATGCTAATTTGTTTCCGCACTACAGTAAGGGGATTATTGTGCTCATCAGAGACAGATTGAGAGCAGATAGTGTCTCTGTGGCAACTGCTTTTTTCAAACAGTCCTCTGTAGCGCCAACCTAATAACGTCCATACAGTTTATTTCCAAAATATTTGGTTTGCATCAAGATTTTAACTGTTATTTTATTGACTCTGCATATGCATAAAGAAACATTTTTTTATTCACAATAAACAGAATCTATCTTTTGTTTTTGGTCATCCTACCTTCTCCTAAGCTTGGAAATGCATCAGGGATCAAAAAATAATACAGTTAGACGTGAGGTGTGGTGTACCTGCTGTGTGCTCGTTTCACTGCCACTGCACTTCCGCCTATGTCCCAAACCATTGCTACTTCCTCCTCGTTGGCTCGGCTTTATGTTCTCCTTCGATCTCCCTGTGTCTCCGATCTCTCGCTCCTTTTCCCTAAAACGGGACACTGTGGACGAGGACACCGCAGAGGAGGAGGAGGAAGAAGAAGAAGAGGAGGAGGAGAGATTGTCAGACGCATGCACAGCGTTCATTTGTCTCTCTCTGTCTCCTCCTTTTGAGTCCTGCTCACAACGTTTGGTTTCTTCAACTATTTTCTCCAGGATAAGAAAGGTGTCCTCAGTCTGTCCTGTTGACTTGACAACACGTTCCACCACTTCCTGCTGGTAGCCCATGGTTCTGAAAAGAAAAGGGGATCCCACAATGTAATTAGAAGTTTATGTCAAATAGTAATGGGCTTAAGTTTTTCAAAGACTCCTTCAATATTAGCTGGGTCAGATACCTTTAAAAATAGTTTGTCTTAATAAATAATGGAGGAAATGAGGCTTAATTGATACATTAAAAATGTCAAAATGCATTGCATTATTATGAGAATTTACCTGAAAAAATTGACCAGGCAGCGGAGGTTGGTTTCCGGGCTGACTGCCTCTCCATCGTCTGGGATGCCCTCGTAGGACTCCTGTGTGATTGGACCGGCCACTGTGTTTGCCTTTCCTGAGTAGGAGGAGGAGGGCGTTGCGATCGTTGAGGAAGCAGATGGGGTTTTGGACCTGCAGCTGCTGCCGGCCCCTCGAACCTCCCTGTCCCGGGTACGCTCCCTCGCCATTCTCTCAGGCGACTCCTCCTTCCGCTCCAGTGAGTATTGTCTCTTTGTGTCTCGAGTCTCACTCTCGGACGAGCGCCGCTTGTGTGAGGGCCGAGTGCCGTTGAGCAGGACCCCCTCTTGACCCACCCCTATCCGGCCCCCTGCTTTCCCGCCTCCACAGACTGAAGACGCTGCACCACCTTTCTCATCGAAGCTGGTGTCCAGGATGCGGTTGGAGAGTTCCGTCACCGGAGTGCTGCTCTGGGAGCGGTCCTGATCCACCTCTGCCATGGTGGGTAGCAGCACCTGGTTCACCTGAGTGTGGAAATGGATATCATCATGATGCTGGGTAAAAAAAAATAAAATAAAAAATAATTTCCTTTAAGTTTCAAAAGACTTATTGAGATAATATACACCAGATTTGCTAAAAAAAACTGTGACAGATGAGAAACACCCAAACTTATAAGTTAACTTTTTAATCAACTCTAAATGAATAATTTGAGCTACAATTTGAAAACTTATAAGCAATTTACACAACCCTGTACAATAAACTGGTTATACTTTGAACTGAACTGTGGAAATAATGTAAATTTTTTAACAATCTTCTTATTTATTCATATGCCCCTGTAGGTATAGACATGCATTTTTGAAGCTATCTAAAAGGTATGAGAATCTTCTCAGTATTGTGATTAAATTCCATAAACTATGTAGAAAAGACAAACCAAAGCAGATGTGTTTGTGCTGGTGGGGCTGTGAACCAGTCCCAGTAACTCTTCCTTCAGGGCACTGGGCAGCAGCAGGAGCTCCATAGTGTATTTATCATCTCTTTCTTCCACAAACGACTTGAACGCTCGCTTCACTGCCGATTCTCTGTCACTTGGCAGACTCTTTTTCTCCTGCACATAAAACAAAACCAGGTTCAGACAGAAAAAGCTAAGTTTTACTTTAGGAAATGACAATAAAACATGTGATAATTGCTGATAATGTTCATAGCCACAGTGGTTTAAAATTTGGACTGAGCAATAAATCAATATCAATATAGATCTTGATAAACGATTGGATAGCCAATAATTTCATTGAACACTGATCCAGAAACGCATGGCATTCTGGGGAATGTAGGCAGGGGAAAGGTAGGGCTGAACTTTCTTTAAAGCAGGGCCGGTGTCCTGCAACTTGAGGAGGCTTCTCGGTTTCAATAAACCTCATTTCAACAGGAGCTCATTAGCAGGGCTTGATTGCATGCTAGTTAGGCTGATTAGCCCTATCATTCAGGTGCGTAGGGCAAGGGATGCAACTAAAAGTTGTAGGACACTGGCCTTTGAAGATTTCAAACCACTGCTTTAAATGTTTAATGTTAAAGTTTTTGATCACATGCATACACCTGCACAATATATACATCCAGCATTTAGCAAAGATAATACTACATGGCTGTACATGTTATTTTGCCATTTGACCAATTAGATGATCCCTTGGAAGATATGTTGCCTACTGTAAATTATATTGAAAAGAAGTTAAAAAGGAAAAAAGTTAAGTAAGAATAACTGAAAAGTTAAAACGTTACAAAGTTAATACACTAAGTCAAAAAGTTAAAAATGTAAGTGCCTTTATCAGCATTAATGTTCTGTTACATTTCTACAAAAAAATGTTTCTTTTACTGTGACTTTTTTAGCGAATTTCTTATAGAAGAACTTATGTTTTTTGTTTTGTTTTTTTACATATTAGGAAAAGTGACTATTACTTGTTATTACATTAACCTGGATTTTTACCATCAAAATAATAATTAAAACTTGATTTATTTCAATGAGTGCGCTATAAAGGGCTAGAACCAAATTGGAGAAAATATGAGAAATGTTTTATACTAAAGCTGTTTAGATTCTCAATGGGTTAAACCTAACAACTAAGTCTAAACCTATACTTAATGTATTACTGCAGGTTAAATCATGTGTGACTATGTATGTGACAAGTAAACTTTGATTTAATCTTTAGTAACCATCAAGACACCAGCCTTACTTGGAAGAGTGCCACAAACTGCTGGACTCTACTCTGAGCCATCACAACAGGCTCAGCTCGGCCCACCAGCCACAGACGACCCGGCTCTGGCACCAGAACCTCGGCGCTGGTGTCACGTATTAGCCTGTCCAGAAAGAGGCCCCTGGCCCCAGCGAAGATGCAGTGCATGTCAGTAGGATAGCGCTCCTCTTTCTGCAGCTCTGGGTCGCAGAGCCCTCGGACATACTCCTACAGAAAAAGAATGAAGAAATGGAGAAGTAGAGAAAAATAAAATTACATAGATCCAAAAAGATAGAGAGAATAGAAGAACTAGAAAGCTGAGGTTAGAGTGCATATGCAGATATTAACGCCTGGCTCTTAAACTGACACGTAAAGGTGAAACCAAACGATTCACAATGATTCAGGGACAGACCTGGCAGAGGCAGATTGTAAAATGAATCAGCTGTGGGACGGGTGAGCAGCTCTCTGACTGATAATGTGACATGCCCAGTTAGCATTAGTCAAACACTCAGCATGTATAACGTGACTAAAAAAATAACCCAGACAGAAAAGCTCAGATTTATTTTAATAACCAAAAAGAAGGACATGTAGTTATCAGCTGGAAATCTTAAAAGTGAAAAAAGGATAGTAATATGAAATATTTTTTTATAGAAAGCTGAAGAAAAAAGTCAAACATCAGGTTTATAAAAAAATAAAAAGTCATTGTAAGGTAGAAAAACAATCTGTATACATTTCATAATATAAAGTTAGATTTCTATAAAGAAATAATTTGTTTTCTATTTTTAATACACTTAGGCTACATTCACAATGCAGTCTGAAGTGACGCAAATCCGATATTTTGGCCCACATGCGACCTGTATATGATCTTTTCATGGCTGTCTGAACAACACAGATCTGATTTTTTCCAATCCGACCCAGGCCACTTGGCTATGTGGTCCTGAATCCGATACGAATCTGATCTTTTAATGCAACCTGTGTCTGAACCGCCAGGTCGCAGTCATCTGAACTGAATGCCATTAATAACCAACAGAGGCCACTATTTTGGGTCTTGCTATGAAGAAGCGGCAAGAAAAACAACAACCATGGCAGATGATGATGGGTAGAGCAGTATTTATGTTTAACCCTCTTGAAAATATTTGTGCCTGCAGGCCTGCGGTGTGAACCAAACCTTAGACTCAGTTCAACAACTCTGTTCAGGTTGTTGTGTGTAATCTTACAGAGTTCTGTCTCTGTGAAATTGTATTGAGTACAGTGGTCAATGAAGGCAGGCAGAGTTTCAGATATGGATCTAAATAAAGCAATATTAAGACCAGTCATAATAAAAGAAAGTATGAAATTAACATAAAAAAATATTTAAAAAGAAGAACATCATTTATGATAACTACAATCTTAAAAACTAAATGTTTTAATGCCACTTAAGCACCAAGTCTTGCATGCAGATCTCCGAGATGATCATCTTAGGTAGGCGTTCCTTGCATTCAGCCTCTTTGGGCTTCTCAATAGACTAAGGTGGTACTCATTGTGCACTGAGCCTTAAAAAACCCAACCCAAAACATAGGTCTAAGGCTAATTAAACCAAACTAAATGATTTTTCTGCTTACAAAAACAACCTTAAATGCAGGTATCACTACTGCTGCTGCACTCTGACACCGAAGGTATAACTTGCCTTGCAGGATTTGAATCACAGCCTTTGCTCTTTCTGCTTAGAGTTTGCATTTTCTAGCTTCCTCCCACTCTACAAAAATACCTTCAAGGCCTCAGGTATCAGTGTTTGGATGGATTTTTGTGTTGTGAAGGACTGAGAACATATCCAGAGTCTAAACTGTATCTCTCCGAAGAGAAAGGAACCAACCAGCGTGACCTGGTACAGACTACTAATGCCACCATTTCTAAATGGTGGCATTAGTAGTCATTAATGCCATTAATGCCACCATTTCTAAAAATAATAATGTTTAAAACACACTTGGCTAACAGATTAAACTCAGTCTGTATTTTATATAAAAATAACCCTTTTCCAAAGTCTAAAAACTTTAAATATAATCGTGATCATATTGAAAGCTTTGATGAATCAGGATGCAACATATTCATGACAATACATGTAAACCAGGACACCGATCTTAAAAAGGACTTCAGTTTCATAGTTTTAAAATGTCAGGAAATGTAGAATATTGAAAAATATAATTATTCTCTTTCCCTCTCACCTTCTCAGACCTAGAAACATTAACTCCTAACTTTCTAACTTTCAAGCGGTAATGAAAACTGTTAGCAGTGAGCTAAAAACTACTATGTGCCCCTGATGCGACAGGTTGTTAATGTTATTTTTTAGTCTTGCTTGACTAGTAGAGCTCAGAGCAGCTGGCAACACACGAGCGAGACTCATGAAAGAGGATGCAGAAATGAGAAAGAGGCTCTTTAGTGGGAAATAACGTAGAAGAAAAAAAAAAAAACACACACAAACTGACTGGTTAACTGTTGATTGAAATGATTTTTTCTTGAGTAATCCAACATCATCTCTGAATGCAGACGAAGCTCACATGACTTTAAAATCTGCTCTGAGTTGACACTTAAATGATTGAAATGACTCATAAACAGAAGGTCCTGCTACCGCAGTGCCCCACAAGTCCAGATCTGAGAAGGATCAGATACTAAGTCTGGTAGGGTTGAGGACAGCTTTCAAATAATTCTGGACCTCTTTCATCAGATGATTTCATTGGGTGTGTTCATATAAGTGCCGTATAAAAAAAAATTTAAAAACAGAAAGTCTACTTCCTAGATGGAGATCCCCTGGTTTAAATGCAGTCTGAAACTGCAGCCTTGACGGTCAGAAACGTTCACTTAGCATTTAACATTGTGGAAAAACAGACAAATTGAACATTACTTCACTTGGTTCACACCAAAACTTCCTCTCATAAAAAAAATGTTTTTGCCACTGTGTTAAATCTGCAAAATAACTGAACAAACCATGCAGCTTTTCAACAGCAACAAAATGTCCTTCAGATCTATACAACAATAGAACAGAATAGTGGGGAAATTCTGTTGTACAAGAGAAAAATTAACATCAGATTAAAAATTACCATTCACTTATCAAACTAGCAACCTCAGATCAAACGAAATGTAGGATGATTAGAAAGTATAAAAAAAAAGTCTACCGGTACATAATATTTCTGAATAAAAAGCTGTAATGGACCAACCACCTTTATTCATAAATTACTTTAAACACCCTCAGGACCAAAGCGCTACACACAATACTAAGTACAAATTAATCAATTTAAAAAACAAACAAAAAGACATAGAATAATAGAATAAAACACAGTAAGACAAAGTCAACGTCTCAGATTGTGTCAAAGGCCAAGGAAAATAAAGAGATAATTTAAAATCGGAGTGAAAAAGCCTCTCCGAATGCCCAAGGGACGATCATTCAACAGTTTGGGAGCCGTTACAGAAAAAGCACGCTCCCCTCTCATCTTACGCTTCATTTTTGCCACCCTCAGAGACTACTGGCCAGCTAACCAGAGGGAACGGGAGTGTTTGAATATAGCAGCTCAGACATCAGCCGTTTAGAGCGTTAAAAACAAAACAAAAAAAGCATTTCAAAATTCTGCTTTTAAACAAGTAGAAAATGCTATGTAGCGCTATGTAGCGCACCTTATGCGCTACATAGTGCACATAAGGTGCAGAAATCATTCACTGAAAAAGCTCTGCGGGAGCCTCGTACTAAATATCAGCGAACAAATGTCTAAAACATGTCAGGAAGAAACCACAAAAAAATAAAATAAAATACAGGCAGTGAGGCTGCTCGATTTAGTTTTATGAATGTTTGTGATTGCATTCCATTCATAAAAGCAAATTTATGAGATGGCGAACTTATAGTTATATTTTATTTAATTAGCTTCTAGCTTAAACTGTAATGTGTAATGAAGTGTAGTGTATATTACATTATAATTTTTGTTATATATATCTCCTGAATGAGTTCTTCCATTTGGCCGGTGTGGGATGGCTCAGGGATCACCATAAATATTAGATCTGTCAATCAGCTCCACACACTGTATGCACAAAGTGCAGTAGTGCGAAGTTGAACCGGCAAAGGTGACACACGCTTCCTTCCAGTGCTCCCCTGTGAAGCTGGTCAATCTAAACCAGCCGATTCAAGCACCATCATGTGCAGGCAGGTCAGTAAAAACGCTAAACACATGTTCTCTCACAATTACACATGACTTTACGCTGCAATTTATCAGCATGTGTGTTAACCTGGTTAATCATCATCATATCTGACTGTTTTGGAATTAATCTGATAATCTTTTATTTTCAGATACAGCGAAAACAGTAATCTGAGAATACATTTATGCTGGTCAGCGCACTGGCTGAGGATTCAAAAGCATCATCTTAGGTGGTTTCCATTACTTAAGGTGAGTTGGGTTATTTTCTGAGGGAGAAATAAATGTTTTCTAACAGTTAATCAGTCATATGAGGTACAGTGAGGAAAATAAGTATTTGAACACCCTGCTATTTTGCATGTTCTTAAACTTAGAAATCATGGAGGGGACTGAAATTGTTACCATAGGTGCATGTACACTGTGAGAGAATATTTATTCGTATGATACACCTGCAAATAAGTACTCAAACACCTGTCTATCAGATAGAATTCTGACCCTCAAAGACCTGTTAGTCTTCCTTCAAAATGTTCAAGTCCAATTATCCTAATCTAGATACACCTGTCTGAGGTGATTAGCTGCATAAAAACACCTGTTCACCCCATCCAATCAGTAAGAATCCAGCTACTAACATGTCAAAGACCAAACAGCTTTCCAAAGACACTAGTGAAAAATTTGACTGGAAAGGGCTACGGGGAAATTTCCAAGCAGCTTGGTGAGAAATGCTCCACTGTTGGAGCAATCATTAAAAACTGAAAGAAGCTAAACATAACTGTCAATCTCCCTTAGACTAGGGCTCCATGCAAGATCTCACCTATTGGGACCACCGTTTCCAAGGTTACTGTTGGTAATACACTAAGACGTCATGGTTTTAAATCATGCATGGCATGGAAGGTTCCCCTGCTTAGACCAGCACATGTCAAGGTCCGTCTTTAGTTTTCCAATGACCATTTGGATGATCCAGAGGAGTCATGGGAGAAAGTCATGTGTTCAGATGAGACCGAAAAAGAACGTTTTGGTCATAATTCCACTGTGTTTGGAGGAAGAAGAATGATGAGTACCATCCCAATAACACCATCACTACTGTGAAGCATGGGGGTGGTAGCATCATGCTTTGGGGGTGTTTTTTTTGGACATGGGACAGGGGGACTCCACTGTATTAAGGAGAGAATGACCGCAGCCATGTATTGCTAGATTTTGGGTAACAACCTCATTCCCTCAGAGCATTGAAGATGGGTCGAGGTTGGGTCTTCCAGCATGACAATGACCCGAAGCACACAGCCAGGATGACCAAGGAGTGGCTCTGAAAAAAGAATATCAAGTTTCTGGTGTGGCCTAGCCAGTCTCCAGACCTAAACCCAATAGAAAACTTTGAAAGGAGCTGAAACTCTGTTGTTCTCAGCAATAGCCCAGAAGCCTGACTGATCTAGAGAAGATCTGTGTGGAGGAGTGGGCCAAAATTCCTCCTGCAGTGTGCAAACCTGGTGAAAAACTACAGGAAATGTTTGACTTCTGTAATTTCAAACAAAGGCTATTCTACTAAATATTAACATAGATTTTCTCAGCTGTTTAAACACTTATTTGCAGCTGTATCATACAAAGAAATAATTAAATGATTTAAAAAAAAATACGTTTTTTTTTTAGATTATGTCTCTTACAGTGGACATGCACCTCTGATGATAAGTGGGATAATTTGAAAAATAGCAGGATGTTCAAATACTTATTTTCCTCACTATAAATATTTGAAGCGTCAAAACTTCAACAAATGTGTTTCCATCTCATTTTACTCACATTTACTCTTTTCAACAAGTCAAAGACCACATCAAATTTATCAAGTTGATATAAGTTTTGATGTTTTTAATCAAGCTCTTCTGAAGCTATACTTTTAAATGTGTAGAAAAGCATTGATGGAAAAAAAATCTACTGTTCAACAATAATACCAACTTTGCATTAGCTCTCATTATCCCCACCTTCAATAAGAGCACCCCAGGATATGTTGATGTTGGTAAACAGAAAAAGGTTTTATAAGGGAAAACGTCACAGTAAAACTCTTAGTTTCTAATAACTTGTAATTCATTGCAAGAGTTATAAAACAAGATTTCTTTTTTTCTTTTTAAATCACACATACCGTCTCCCTCAGGAGGCTCAGGGGTTATAATATAATACTTGTCCATAACTTGTCGGATTAAATGCAGGTTAACTAAAAACACTATAACTCGCTGCATCATAAGTTGAGCTTTTGTCTGTACGCAAACTGAAGCCCACTAAATAACATCCCACTAACTCTAAAAGTTTACAGAAACTCAAAATACATAATTTTTAGAAGNAACAAAAAATCTTTAAATAATCTACTGACGATTAATTCATTAAACAAACTTTTAGCGTAAAAAATAATTCAAATTTTTATTGATCAAGCTTGAAACTAGAAATGTATTTATTGTAATTACAGTTCATATTTAGCTCATCAACCTGTTAAGGAATGAAAAATGTAGATTACCCAAGGGCTAAAATGTTTGTGAAGTTATGTTTTTGGAATCAATTATTAATAATTACATGTTCCAACCTTGTCTACAATAGATAAAAAACCAAAACAAAACAGATTCATGTTTTTTTTTGTAAGTTTCTTTTTTTACAAAGTGTTTTTGTCCATATGTGTGGACTGCAGTATCACATTATCACTTTAGAAACACTGACCTAGTGGTCTACTTCTTTCATTTCCACCCCTGCTTTCTATGCTAGAAACAGCAGCAATTTGCTTAAGCAGAGTTTAAGTGTCTCACTTCACTTTGTTTACTTCTATAAAACAATCTTAGTTGGAAGAAATTAATGATTAAGAGGAAACTATAAGTATTGCTAAAGAAAACACAAGCTACAAAAATTTAGTTAGGAAAAACTAAGCTATCTTAACAAGAAGTTTTTATTTTGAAAGTAATTTTAGTTGATTTACAAATCCCTGCCAAAGAAACATTGCTTGAAAAACCACATAGAGGAAAATACAACTTCATAATATTCACAGTAATATTACTGTCACCAAATTAGGACTTAAATTAGGGACCTTAGTGGAACCAGGTTTCATGCTGTGGCTCTGAGCCTTTTTTATGTCAGTTTTCTTTGTGTGTTAAAGTTTCAGGCTGTGTTGCAATAAACACTGCTAGTAGTTTACCAGGCAATTTGCAGTTTCAGAAAAAACGATACCTTAAATGCCAAACATTCCTGATAAAAATGTAGCCAGGGTTAAACGCTCACATTTAACTGAATATGAATAAAGATGCTTTACCTGCCAGTGCAAGATCAAGTTTCCTTAAAAAAAAAAACAACTTATTTTGAGATTTTAACAGTGAGGATCATTTTCGAAAGTTTTTTTTCATGTTTTAGAAAGACACCTCTACAGTCAAATACTGAATTATTTTTCTGATTGAACTTAATATTAAAGGTCCATTAGCTGACATTTATTCTGCCTCTAAAACACTCATCAGTCCATAGTTAACACTTTAACACTGATTTTAAAACACTTTTTTTTTTAAATATTCTATTTCTTGATGTAAAATGAGGATCATGGATCACCTCAGCATTGAAATCGATCAAATGTAAAGCTAGCAACACTCAACGGATGTTTGTTTTGACACAAATGTGTTAAAACATCTCTTAATACCAATTAATATGATCTGGGAGGTTATCTAAACCAGTACTAATTGGGTTTGAGTTAAATCAAATCTGTAGTTTTAATCAGATTACAATAAATTCAAGGTTTTCAGGTGATTTCTTTAGCTTTATGTGTCATGTTTGCACTTTCAAAATGAGAGTTTGGCCTGGAAGGACCCAGTTTCTGCCCTTTCATGTGGAGGCCACTGATATACAGAGTTGTTTTAGTTTTTCTTTGCTACTTCCCTTATAGAGGAGGGGATTTATTCCTTTTAACAGTTTTATCTGCTAAAAAAATATAGATTTAACCATTATTTAAATGAATGACATGTAAATCCTATTTAATGAGAGGAACAAACATTCATATGTTACAAAGAAACACATGGATTGATTGTGTCATAGTAGTTCAATATGGCAATAAATGAGTTAAAAGACTTCTAGGCAGAAAATTGAGGGAGAAACTAAAAACCAAGGTTAAGGTTTTAAACGCAACAGGAGAGAGAAAAGCTGTTGGTCAGTAAAGTTGGTGTCACTGGCACACCTGTTCATGGAGGAGTCAATCTGGACTTTATGTTTCTTTATTTCTAATAAAAATGGCCTCATACCCCAATTAATATGTTACTTGTCTGAACATCCTTACGTGCTGTTTTGTTTTTGTTAACAGAAGGTTTAGTTATACCCACCTTCGCCTTGGACACGTCGTCTCTGTCCCCCCGGAGCTGAAGCCATATCTGCCGGGTTGTTTTGCTGCCGTGCGGCTGTCCTGTATGGTCCAACAGACCGATAATTGTGAACGTCACTTTAAAAACCTGCTCCACTCGGGGCCTGGCGCTCTTCAACTCGTCTTCTTTGTCCTCAAGGACCGTAAACTCGTCCACTGTGAGGGCCTCTGTCTGCTGCCTGCCGGCCGAAGCGGAGAGCCTGGTGCCCGGCTGCTCAGGGTACGCTAGCTCGGTGACTCGTCTCATTCCGAGCAGAGGCCGAGTTGTTGACATCCCGCCCTGTCGCTCTCTGACCACCACGCCTCTCTGTTCAGACCTCCTGGGGCTGCTGGCGGGTTCTGGAGGTGTTCATGGTCTCCTGTCCGCGTTTACCTCGGAGTTTCAACGTAACGTTAACCACCACTAACGACATGAACGTTTCGGCAGCAACTAGCGTTAACAAGTCGGAAGCTCGGTCTGACGTATCCGGAAAGTCCCAGTGATGGCCTCATCAAAGCACGACAGCCCAGTCAAGTGTTATGTCCTAAGATGATTATCTGGCAGACACTTATGAAAACAAAAAGTCCGCTCAAAGTAATCCATTGTCTGACACCTAGGCAATAAAAATACCACCAATAAGGTGACATAAGTGGGCCGAGCGAACCAAAACAGATTTTATATCATTATATCCACCGATCTGCCCCCTAGTGGTCAGCAGGTGTTAGCAACAATTTGAACTGGGGTAGGGGTTCCGACCGGGGATTAGAAAGTTGGAGAAAATAGAAGATGGAGCAGCTGTTTCTTCGAAATCCAACACATATCAACCTACTTTTTTTCTTTTTAAGTAAAATCATAAAATGTTGAATGGCTGCCCTCATGGGCATTTCCTGGGTCTTGGAACACTTGGGAAACTAACTTGGGTGGGAAAAAAACGCTTTTTTGTTTTCTTGAACATTTTGTCACGTTGTTCGAAGCCAAATACCGCTTTGTGTACTTCAAAACTTATTTATTTTCTAACGTAATCTTGACAAAGGAAGCAAAACCCACATTAATATTCAAGGAAAATAATGATAATGATGATAACAGTAATTAATTCAATTGACCTCAATTTATTCATAAAGCACCAGTTCACAACACATGTCATCTCAGGCACTTTACAATTCACCCGATCATACAGTCAAATTGATTCAAAGTTTTCTATCTAAGGAAAACCTGTGGATTGCATCAACTCATTGACTCAAGGCAATCCCTCACACTAATCATGCTTGTAGCGACTGTGGAGAGGAAAAACTCCCTTTTAACAGGAAGAAACCTCCCGCAGAACCAGGCTCAGTGTTAGCGGCCATTTGCCGTAGCCAACTGGGGTTCAAGGAGACAGAAGCAGACATAGAAAAAGAGGCAGAGATACAAAAGGCAACTGTCAACCAGCTCCACAGACGGCCCTGTCCAGGAACCACACAGCCAGGCAGATTAGCTCCAGCCCAGCTCCTATGTCAGAGGATAAAGAAAGCACATCCAGCCCATCACAGTCAGAGACTACTCTGGACTACTCTGAAAAAAAGTCTGATCTCCAACATCTATAAACAAAGGTGTTGATGGCAGCAGCACAACTGATATGTCTCTCCAGGAGGGTGTCAGAGCCAAACAGGAACAGACTAGATGAAGCTACTATGAGAAAAAGCAGAGAGAGCATAAGGTTAGAGGTTGAACAGATCCTGCAGAGTGGGAGAATAGAGATAGAATGAAGCAGAATGATGAAAAATGGGTCCCTATAACCTCTAGAAGTCTAAGCCTATAGCAGCATAACTATAGAGATAGTTCAGGATAACCTGAGCCACTCTAAC